AAGGCCATGCAGAAAATCGAAAGACAGAGCCCGATCACAATCAGTGCGAGCCTCCACGAAGTAGGATACTCTGGCTCAGGTTCCGTATTATGGCTATGTATCGAGCTGGGTGCTTTTGGCTCGTGCTGTGCTTCGACCGTCTGTGAATGAGGGGAGGTGTCGCGCGCAGAATCAACGAGCGTACTCTCTTTGCTTCTAGCGGAACCGTTGCCTTCTGTCTGCGTGACCTTGAATGGTTTCAGTTCAGCAAACGGTCCCTGCTGCTTCTCAGCGTTAGAAGCAGCCATGGCGAGAATAGGTATGCAAGACCCAAACCAATCTCACAACCTAAGCAGATGACGGTACTTAGGGCAGCAGTCAACAGTGTAGATAGCTGGAGAAGAAATCCTCCTCTGATCTGCAAATGAAGCAGTTATCTAATAATCACTCCAGAAACGATTAACAAAAGTGGCAGGAAGGAAGATCAGCAGTGAAAAGAAAGACGGCTCAAGGAAAGCCTCCTTCCGGCTTCACTGGCTGACGACGATTGCCGTAATGGAGGCCAGGTTGTGTCACCATCTCGTAGCCACGCCAGTCTGGCCCAATGGCGACCCCTTGCTTTGTTGCGCATGTCAAGGCTCCAGACCATTCAGGAGCAGAAGCAATCCGTATTCCGAAGCACTGGTCAGGTTGTGCAAGCTGCAGGTATACCCCGGAGGGGTTGGCAGCGTGACGGGGCAAAGCGAGGGTCACACTCAGAGTGGATGGTTTGCTTCTGACATTCCGGCATCGGAAAGATTTCTATCCGGAGAGAGCCCTTGAAAGATTCCTGTCAGTTGGGAATGATCAGGCGGGATATTCCCCCACAAAGAATCTCGGAATAGGGGAATTCCAAGAAGGATGGATTAACTTCGATCGGAGACTCACCTCTGCCCCTGAAGCAAGGATTGGTGGGAGCCAGACTGCACCTAGACTAAGTACCTGCATGCTATTTCTGTCGTTGATTTTCGTTGCCAATCAAGTGGTCAAAGAAAGACAGACTCTAAATCAGGCACTATTGAATTCTTTCAGTTGGAGATGGTGGTTTTGGGCGGCTGTGGCGGGCAATAGCATCCTCGCTTCTCGTGCCGTCGCTTTGTTCGCCTGGTCGCGTTGGCAACTCAGGAGCAACGCGTGTTGGCTTAGCAGCGTTAGGATTCGGACTGGCCCTGTCAGCCCAACTAATCCTTGGTTGGCAAGCTACAGTGCTGTTGCCATATGAATCAAGATAATAGTAAAAGAAAGAATTCATTTCGACCTAGGATATATTCACAATTCCAGTAAGCTGTACAACGCCGTAAAAGATCAAATATGCCCAAACATCCGTCCTCCCAACCGCTCTTCAAACACCTAACCAATGCGGAAATCCTGCGAGATGGTCATGATGGCCACTATTGCGCCTTTCTGCGGGCATCCTCCTTGCTAGCAACGAGGGCGATCAGAGCAGCACCCACGCCGCTGCCATCCTTGGAGATACCAATGCGGATCTTCTTGTTGCCGGCTTCGCCAACCTCGGGCACTTCGCGGAGGGCATCGCGCATGTAGCCTTCGAAGTTGGGGTAGAACTCGACCAGACTGCCATCAACACCAATGTCTACCAGGTCGTCCTTTTGCAGCTTGCCAGTAGAGAGGAGGACAGCAGCCAGCGGGACGGCACTCAGACGAGCAGCACGCTTGCCAATGGCATGAACAACGGTCTGGATGGCCTTGCAGTCGTCGGTGGTGGGGCGTTCGATCTTGAGGTGGTCCTTCAAAGCGACCTTGATCTGCTCCATATTCTCAGTCTTGTCGGCCTCGACCAGACTCAACAAGCTGGTGTCAATACCCCATTGACGGTACAGGGAAGACTCCTTGGGAACAGAAACGGTGGAAGCCCCGCCAGTCTTGAGGAAGCCCAGAGACTCGTTGCGCTGCATGTCCAGCATGACGCGGCGCAAGATCTCGCCCAGGAACATACCCGAGACGCGCTTCTCAAACATCTGGATGCCCGGGTTGTTGCTGTCGGCATCGAGCTGTTGGTCGTAGATGGTGTTCGGCAGGACACTCAGGTGGTTGTCGAAGCTGCCCCATTCAGCGTTGATGATCATCTCACCGGTGGTCTTGTCGTACTCGGAGTGTTCAATGGTCTGCAGCTTCGTGATGCGGTCCAGCTTCTCCACATAGGCGCCATTGGTGCCCGTGCCGAAGATAGCACCCAGGAAAGTGCCCGTCTCTCCAGGAGAGGTGTATGAACGAGCCATCAGGGTTCCGACAGTGTCGTTGACCAAGGCAGCCACGCGCACCGGGAGTCCCAGATCATCGATGGCGTTCTGCAGCAAGGCACAGACATCTTGACCCACGGCATCGGGAATGTTGAAGCCCTTCGTCCAGCGAATCAGGGTACCCTTGTTAATGCCCAGCTGACGCACGGGGAAACTGAAGGTGAAACCCAAGTCGAACAGGTCCTCTTCACAGTTGCCATTCTTCTCATTGCGGCGACGCAGGTGAGCCTCGAAGTGGTCGTTGTGGTGAATGCGCAGGAACGATTCGATCTGGCGGGCCAAGAACAAGAAGAGATCCTTGGCCGTACCGGACGCCATGGTCTCACGAGGAATCATGATCTTGGACTGGGTAAGGGAGAAGGTAGTGTCTCCATGTAGATCGATCGAACACACGCGGAAGTTGGTGCCGCCGAGATCTACTGCCAGGTACAAACCCTGCCAATGACCAGGTCAGCTGCTGTTTGGCGGAGGGAGCTGATTGGTGTGAAACGTACCTTTTCCGTGCCATTGGGCACTGCCGTGACATAGGTCGGGATCTGACTGAGGGTCGTGTGCTCCTTGGACAGGCCTTCATCGATCTCGCGAATGTATTCCGTTACTCCACGTTGCACTTCAGCAGCGGGGTAATCGAACTGGCTGGCAATGCGCGCAGCCTCGGACAGCAGAGCAGATGACATGATGACGGAAGAGATGTGGATATGAGGGAGAGTGTGAGGAGATGGAAAATAGATGGAGCCTCAAAGAATGTGTTGAGACGACAATAAACACAGTGTGCAGAAAAAAAAAAGTGGTGAAGGAGGAGACCGGATGGTGGGGTTCAAGTAAATACGGGGAGGGGCAGACGGAAGCTGGAGGGGAATTCGGGGAATGGAGATGGAGAGAGAGAGAGTAGAGGGAGAGTAGAGGATGTGGAGGGAACAAAGGATAAGGATCAGGAGGAGAAGGAGGATACGAGCAGGAAGAGTCTAATAACTATTATCCGGAATGAGCATACGATGATGAAGGGGGAGCAAGTGGGCGTATTAATAGCAGAGCCATGAAGCCCAGTAAAGAAACTAATAATCTTGCAGTTGGAGGGGTCGATGAGGTCAGTCCGACGGGCTCAAGCCAACGGGAACGCCGGGTTCGCCGGGTTTGCCAGGCGTGGCCAAAGGGAAATTGGAAAAGGGTTCACGACCACTTCCAGTTCTCTCTGCTTTCCCCCCCTTCCCGACATTCTCGCATTGCCGATGTCTCGCACTTGTCCCAGGTTTACTAACTTAGTGCGTGGTTCTCTCCAGTCTCCAGTCTCCAGATGCCACTCCTCGCACTAAAAAGTGGCCCAGTTGCCTGCAAGACGGGGTTGCCGCGAGTCGGTAGCGAATCCGCCCGCGTGTCTGCCATGACGCATGAAACCAACTTGGTGGGGTTTAAGCCGTCGTTCACCGGTGAGAGGGAATTGGTTAGCAGCGAAGGGAATGGAAGGGCGAGGATGGCTGTTGCACACAATGCAATACCACAATGCCATTCTCGTGCTTGGCCTCTGCGTCAGTCAGGAGAGGGTGAGACCACGCGGTGGGTGGTGAATTAGTGGTGATGCTGGCCTTCCCCATCTCCGGATGCGGTCGTCTGGGGCATTGGGGAACCTGGAGATGCTGACATGAGCATCATACTAGTACCTGGATCGGACTCAACACTACAATTCCAATATGTCACTACGGCTGTTTGCTTTGGGACGGACTAGTCCAGCTGTCAGAAGATGATGATCAGGGGATTCTCGTCTCGACGTAACCTTAAGTAACCGTCCAGCCTATGCAAGCAACCATCCCCTCCACGGCTGCTCCCTGCATGCTGCAGTATCACTGCGAGATTTTATCTCAGGATCAGCCACTTAAAGGCTTCGATCTGTCAGGTCTGTCACTTATTGTTTGCATGTAGAGAGTACGGAGGACTATGTAGTTTACATTGCTGCGTCACCTACCTAGGGTTCTAGCGAACAAGACGATAGGCCGAGCGATCTTCAAGCACGTGAGATTCGACACAGTATACCACTCACCAACATGATATTAGCTAGTCTAAGTTTGTAGAGAAAGCAACAATATACCTATTGCTGTGATATTTAGTAACTCATGTGAAGCACCTCTCACCATTGAATTTATCCATACCCATGATCTGGATCTTTGTGTGAAATCCAAAGTCCAACCCTCAAATCAACCACTCAAAACAACACCACCAACACCCAAAAACCACCTAAAGGTACAGTAAGAACCCCCAATCTAATACACTTTCCCCAAGCCAACCATCCCAGCAACCCCGGGCACCAACTGCATCTCTACCCAACCTCCAGCGTCCAAGAAAGTAAAAAAGCCAGCCATCCCAAAACGGAAACCCCGTGACTAATCCAGCAACAGTAACTAGCCTAAGGCATCAACACATCACCCATCCTCTCCAGGCACCAAGGCATCAACAAGCAGCATCCAACCCCTGCCTCAGGCGCAAAATGACTAATCCCACGTGACCCGGCGGAAGTCGGCTTCAGAAACGGACCTTGACGATATGCAATTCCCTGCTCCGACACAGGAATTGCCCTCGATCAGGATCTCTCGGCGGCCAATTGCGGTGTTCCACTGAAACCGAACTACCACACTCGCCTCTTTCCTCCCTCCGGTCCACCAAACAATACCAAAGACAGCTTCGGCTGAAGGAAAGTCACGGACACACGAAACCCGATATCCGCACATCATGGGCGCCGGCAGCTCTAAGCCCGCGGCTCCGGCCGACTCGAAGCACGTTTTCTCGAGGTAGGATTGCTTTGCTTGTTACATTGGACAATTACATATTGCTATGGCTGTGTTGGTACATCGATTGGCTTGGGTTGGGATATCACTGGACGCGCTCAATGCATGCATGATATTGAAGCCGGACTCTCTTCACCGAGGATGATCATACCTACCCAACCAACCAACCATATAAATAAATAATAATTCGATATGGGCGATACCCTTCAAACCAATGACCACAACCACATGAGAATAAATCGGAATACCAGCTAACAGCTATATCCTACACAGCTCTTCCCCCGTCCAATTCTCCGCCAACTTCGTTGACGGCCTCCAGTCCAACACCGAGGTACGTACATTTCCCAGCTACCTACCATACCCAACTCATCTAACCCACCTCCTTCAATGAAAAAAGACCGACTCCGCACGCGCTCGCTCCCTCGAACTCCAAATCCAAGAGCGCGTAGCCCAAGAACTCGAGCGCCTTCGTGCCCGCGAACAGCAAACGCTGGCCGAGATCGAGAAGAAGCTTGCCGAAGCCAAAGATGTCTCTTCTTCGACACCCGCGCCCAGCTACACTCCCACCAGCTCAGGGGCTTCTTACTACCCACCCGGATCTCTGGACCTGGATGCGCCCCGGATCCCGTTCGCGGGGCGGGAGAGCTACTTCGCGACTGCTGCTGCTGCTGCTCCGGCGGTTGAGGCGGCGCAGCAGCCGATTAACCGGGAACTGTCGCGGGAGAGCGTGAACAGTGAGATTGAGGAGTTGAGGGCGAAGTTGGAGGGACGGAAGAAGTTGGTTGAGATTGATGCGGGGATTGAGAAGGCTAGATCGGAGGTGGTGAGTTGTTTGAGGTTGAATGATCGGAGGCCGTTGGATTGTTGGAAGGAGGTTGAGGCGTTTAAGAAGGAGGTTGCTAGGTTGGAGGAGGGGTTTGTGGATCGGATTGTTGGGTAGATTGATTTATTTATTTATTCCATAGGGATGATATATTGATAGAGAGGTGAGGTATAGTGGTGTGTAAGTGTGTGTTTGTTCGACTGTTGCTGCTGTTGCTGCTGCTGCTGCTGCCGAGTCATCAATTCCGCTTTGTGCATGTGTGTATATGTATACCTAGCTTGCTAGAGAAGGTTACTGGTTTCTGTTTTCAATCATGTTTATCCTTAGTACTATGTTGTGGTTGGTGTAGATATTGGTTGGTTGAAATCTCCCAACTAAATGGGCAGATCTTGAATGTTCATCTCTATCATAAGCCTCTAGAATGCTTCTAACCCCCTCCCCAAACAATCAATCAAAGACACACAGGGTATCACGCAACAAAGCCACACAATCCATCCTTACACATACACACACACATACACATCAAACCAACTCCCAAAACCCGACCCTCGCCACCGTCTCCCCCGCACTCCTTATGATACACATATTCCTCCCACTCGCCTTCCCCTTCTGCACCTTCGACAACAAAACAGACCCAATCCCCGTACCCTTTCCCTCAGCAAGGTTATAATTGCCCGTGGTAACAAAGCCAATCAGATCCTCCTCCGTCGGAACCGGCAAATGCTTCTGACGAACATCGTCACCCGCAGACGGAGTGATAAGCGATGCAGCGAGCTGTTGCTGGATATCTTCAGGGCCGAGGTTGGCGGTAGATCGGGATTGTTTCTTCTGAAGGTCATTCCTGAGACCATCGTAGGGTTGCTTTGATGATAGCGTGAGCCAGTCCTGGCGGAGCTCGCGATCGGTGGTTGGGAGTCGGTAGATGCGGGCTCGGGGGGTGGGTGTGCCGCGGTTGATGAGGGTGAGTTTGACTGTTGCTAGGGCTGAGGTGTTGATAGTAGTGGTGGTGGAGGGGTCGGTTAGGGCACGGGTTGCTTCGGATGATGAGAGTTGGTGGATGTTCAGTGGTGGGAGTGTGGCATTGGCGTCGTTGTCTTGGGCGTTGGTGGTATCATCCGGTTTGGTCTCAGTCTCTAAGGGCTGTTCCTTGTCGGTTGCATTGCTCGCCTCTGGTGCTGCTCCTTGGACGAGTCTCTCCCAGTCGCAGGCCCAACCGCGTCCTATCTCACCCTTTTGTCCGTTTCTCAGATCGATACTCTCAAACTCGGTTCTGCGCCCCTTGGGACGTCTCTCCCACTCTCGCTTCGCTTCTTCTCTCTCGCGCAGGCCCCATTCCCATCCGGCGCGGGTTCCTGGGAAGTCACCAGGGAACCAAGGCTCTCCTGATTCGAATGAGAGTTGCTGCTGCTCTTTCAGACCGCCGAATCTGGGGTTTCCGCCGCTCGAGAGGGGATAGTACATCAGCGAGTACCAGAACGGAAGCACGCACTTCCATGGGAGGAGGACAGTCCAGGTTCCAGGTGCGCTGCTGCTCTTGGACTGGGTAGGTCGACTGGCGAGTACCATCACAGGTATCTTGGGATCGGTGTCTTTGGCGGGCGGGCGTACGCCAGGACCAGCTTCGGTTCGACGCCGATTGATAGCCTTTTGGCTAGGCAATTGGCGTGCAGCAGCTAACCGGGCGCGACGATCGAAAAGAGCAGGGGCCGTCTGCGTGCTATCCGGCGACCACGACGAGAGTAGTATAGCCAGCCGTTGCATCTCTTCCTCTGACGACGATGGCTTCAAAGTCTTGGGCGGGAAATCGAGGCGAGGGTCGGAGACAGAGAACCCAAGGACAGCGTCCTGCGGCAGAGATGCAGGGTTCGTTACCCCCAGGAGAGAAGTCCATGTAGCCTCCGGACTGTCCGCAGCGACATCCTTCCCATCCACAGCAACCGGCTTGAACGACGCAAGCAACGCCTCCGTAGCCCCCGGACCAGTGATCTCGATACTGCCAATCTCAAACCGCAAGTCCTCGACCATAACAGGAGGATTCTGCTTCTTCGAAACACCCAGCAGGGCATTCCACAACTGCAAAAACGCAGACGGATGCACCCGAACAAGCACCTTCCTCCAACCCTTCTTCCCCTTCTTCTGCTTCCCACTCTCATCAGCATCAACCATCTCCACATCCTCCCCCTTCACCTCAGCACACCAAACCAACGTAACCGGCGCAATGGGCCTCTTCTCCCCCTCCCACTCATACACCCAAGTCCGCAACCCCCTCGTGCCAGCCCTCCACTTCCTCCCCTTCACCCCCCACGCCTTCTCCCCCTCAACCCCAACAGCCCTCAACACCCCCTCAATCGCCCCCACCGTGCCCTCCAACTGCACCGTCGCCAAATAACTCATATCCCACGCCACAGCACCCCTGGACCCCCTCGCGCGATGCGTCGGCCGATAACTCTTCTCCGTCGGCGACAACGGCACCGCGAACCTCCACAACGGATCCTTAGAAGTAGCCATATGCGCCCTCTTCGCATGAAACATATGAGTCGGCAACCAAGTCTTGCACTGCTGACGTTTCTTGAACCTAGCTTCCGGCGGATTCGGCCTGGACAATTTATTCTTCTTGATTTTCGGCACCCGCGGCGCAATCTCATACGCATGACTACCGGATTCCTCCAACGTCTTCCGAACCTCTTTATCTCGCTGAGCTTTCACGGCCGCGCGCTTGGCTTTCGTCTTCGCGTTCAGGTTCTGTAGTCGCCGGGCAGTTTCGAGTCGAATGCGCATTTGTTCGGTCGGTTTGCGGGTTCGTGATGATACCGTGGGGGTGTTGTCTTCTATCATCTGTACACAGAATCATAGTCACACATTAGAATCTTCACTGAACCCCATTAAGAGTAATCTTGGTAAATAAAAGAATATGTACCTCTCTCCTCGCCCTCGCCCTCAACCTCTTCGGCACCCTCTTCACATTATGACTCGCCGTCCGTCTCCTCAACGACCTCGGCACCTTCTGGAACGCCCGACTCGTCAACGCATTCTTTGATCGCTGAATCCCCGACTCCAGCGACCGGATCTCGTATTCTCTTGCTTCCACGTACGCAGCGACATCTAGTTCGCCGGAGGCTGATAGTGCCGCGTCGGCGACCTGCACGGCGAGCGAGCGCGCATCGAATGTTTTTTGGCGTTTGCGGGCGGCCGCGGCGGAGAAGTTGGGAGCAGCAGGTTTGCGCTTTGGTGGGTGGGAGGCCATGATGGCCGGTGATTGTGTTGTATTTTGTGCGAAGGAGAAGAAATCAATTTATCATTTAGGTTTTGTAGGGGAGGGGAATTTGTTGGAGTTGGATAATTAAAGCTTTCAAGATCCCTGCAGAAAGGTCCGGGCCTGGAATGAAATGAAATGATGGAATGGTTTGATTTGGTCTGGTTTGGTTTAGCGCGGTGTCTGTTCCGTCGTCCGTCGTCGACTTTCAGTTTTCCGGCCGACAGAATTGAGAAACTAGTGATGGGAGCAGCCACTCCGACGCAACAAAATGGCAACGCAACCAATGATGTCGTTGGCTGACGGTTAAATGCTCAAGTTAATCCTAGTACTTTAGTTCTTGTTGACGCTTTGATGTTCGGGTTTTCTTGTAGATCAGTCTTAGCTAGGGGTGGACTAGTAGCTTGTTTTTCTCTTTGTATATTTTCTTACCTTTTTTTTTCTTTACTTTTTAAGGTTCTTTTAGATGATCGTTGGACAAACAAAGGTATACTACGTACTGGCATCATACTACAATATGAACAATGTTGTCGTAGCTTCGTAAGCGCGTTGATTTTCTTTCTATCTAGTGGTTCTGTCTAATTTCTAACGCATTATCCCACCAGAATATCAATGTCAACGCTATCTATCATCGGACGCCTGCCATGTCTATCGTCTTTAAATGACACGTTTACAGCTGCTTGAGGACGGCCTCAGCGCTCGAGAACTGCAATGATGGTTAGTAGCTATTCACCCGGACATGAGAAGAGTAGAAAACATACCTCGAGGTGGTTCTTGGCGGGCTCACGCTTGGCGTAGGTAACCTTGCCGTGGTCGATGATGATGGCGTAGCGACCAGTGCGGCCCTCCTCGTCGGCCCAGCCGATGCTCTTGGAGAACTTGGCCTCGGGGTCAGACAGGAAGAGCTAGAAGCAATTAGTATCATTGGACTGAAGGACAATCAAGAGAAGGAGGGAATCTTACAATGTCATCGTTGGTGACCTGGTTGGCCTTGCCCCAGGCGCTCATGACGTAGGCATCGTTGTAGGCAAGGACGGCAACAACGTCGACACCCTTGGCGCGGATCTCAGGGAGCTTCTCAACGTACTCGGGGACGTGGCGAGCAGAGCAGACGGGGGTGAAAGCACCGGGGAGGGCGAAGAGGATGACCTTCTTGTCGGCCCACTCCTTGGAGGCGTAGTAGTTGATGGGGATACCGCAAGAGGTGATCTCGCCCTTCTCCTCGGACCAGGGGATGTAGCTGTGGAAGGAGGAAGCATGTTAGTGAATGTACTAGTAATAGTGTATGGTGACCACAGTATATGGTTGCGTTGCTGTGCGAGAGACACCAGCAACCGAAAAGGCGGAAGACGGTGGGGGAGGGGCAAGAAAGAGAGAGAATAGAAGAATGAAGAGAATACTCACGAGAAGGTAACGTCAGCGGGGAAGCTGTCACCGGGGTTGAGGCCAGACATTGTGAATGAGATTAGTTAGTAGTAAGGTGTACTAGAAAAGGTATGAGTGATTGAGTAGTAGTAGTGAGTTGTGAGAGTGAAGAAGATTGGGAAGGGAATGGAAGGTTGGTTATATAGGGAAGACGGGGAGACGGAACGGGGGCAGCGAGCCTGTGGCGGGTAATTCGACCTTAGCTTCAGTTGAATGAATGGTTCCTGTGTCAAGGGCAACGAATAACGCGGCGACGGCCCGCCCACGGCGCCATGAGGTGATCCGAAGCAGAAGGATACCGAAACTCTTCGATTGGTAGGGCTTTGGAGGGGGAACTGTATTATCAAGAAGACCGCCCGAGACTGAGTGACCCCACCACGCATTCCTTTTTCGGGTCTGCGCCATTCCCGTCCACTGGCCACCATATCTAGACCGTCCC